TGTGCAATGCTGCATGGTAAGCCCGAGTGTAGCTCGGGGATACCGCTTTTGGTGCTGAAATTTTACCCCGAGCTACACTCGGGAATACCGCCAGAGAGGTTAAAGGATAAGTTCATCTTTTAACAAATATAATAAATGCACATTATTTTGCAAGTAAAAAAAAATGTGCATTTACAATTTTTTGTTTTGGGAGCCTGTAAAACGTTGCACCAGTAATCAGCAGATTTGTCAGTGTATCTGTGTGCCCGTATGCTATGACAAGAAGAATCAATGAACTACCACAGAGCTCAACAGCGTCGTGGTAGCTACTTGAGAACTTCAAGGCTGTCGGACCTTGTAGTGTTCTCATTCACAGAATATTGTGAATGGGAGACACGGCTGGGAGGACAGAGATCTACACAGCCACATTTTTTCTAAAATTGTGACAGCTAGCGGGGCAAGAAGATCACAGCTATCACAGTGGAGAATTGAAGAGAGTGAGGGTGGTCCTTTTGTAATATATTACACCCTGAATATGGGTGCAACAAGTGACATGTTACAAAAGGGGAACTTATCCTTTAAAACACATATTGAAAATCTAATAGGACATGCTCACCAACCAAGAAAGTTTCAGTCAAGAGACTCCATGAGGTCCAGGCTGCACACAGGTCTTCTCTCTCCACACACCAACCACCCCCTCTTCACCTGATTAATAAGCAAGTCTGTTGGAGAAGTACTGTCCTCTACAAATAAACCCCTCTCAACTCTACCTCTGGATGACTCTCTACATAGGTCATAAAGGTATCATGGGTGAACATAATGAAAGTTGCATAGTAGTATATTAATCTTTAACAAGCTCGTGCAGACTCCACCTCCGCAACATCGCCAAAATACGCACGTTCCTAACCCCAGAAACCATTAAACAGCTCATCCACTCCCTCATCATATCACGACTCGACTACTGCAACTCCCTCCTCACTGGCCTGCCTCGCCGCTGGCTATCCCCGCTTCAGTCGATCCTGAATACGGCTGCCAGACTCATTTACCTTTCCAACCACTCTGTCTCCGCGACCCCCCTCTGCCAATCCCTCCACTGGCTTCCGATTGCACAACGGATCAAATTCAAAATCCTAACACTGACGTACAAAGCCGTCCACCATACTGCCCCGAACTACATCACCGACCTAATATCCAAGTACCACCCAACACGCACACTCTGCTCCTCACAAGACCTCCTTCTCTCTAGTTCCCTGGTCTCCTCCTCCCATACCCGCCTCCAGGACTTCTCCAGGGTGTCACCCATCCTCTGGAACTCCCTGCCCCAACCCATCAGATTATCACCTACTCTCCTCTCCTTTAGGCGCACCCTGAAAACCCATCTCTTCAGGGAAGCCTACCCCACCCCCTGCTAACTTGCCGACCTCCTCCACTCTTCCTACCACTCCATCCCCCACATCTTTCTCCTCCTGTACCACTATCCCCTCCCTCCTAGATTGTAAGCTCGAAAGAGCAGGGCTCTCGATCCCCTCATGTTTTGCATTGTATTGGTATTGTTCTGTCACATGTTCTGTCCCCCTTTGTAATGTACAGCGCTGAGCGAACTATCGGCGCTTTATAAATACTGTATAATAATAATAATTAATGATGTAAAACATAAATTACATAAAAACCAACACAAATGTGTGAATTTCCATGTTAGGGCTAAACATTAATTCACATAAATACCCAACTACTATTATAGATTTTTTTTTTAATAATTTGTAATATTAGTTTTGCCTACTCAATAATCTAGGTGCGTACCAAGAGAAGATCAAGATAACTATGTAAAGTGGAGAGATAGAAGTAAATGGCTAGGAAATAGGCTTTACATTACATCTGCCAGGCTTGTATTGATTGTTCAAGGTCTGTGTTATGCGACAGCTTTGTTCCAGTTCAGCATAACTTATTTTATTATTATTCTCAGTATGTAAGTGTCTTTTGAAAAATATATAATGCTATAGCATTGAATATCTTTCACTTTCTCAAGCTCTGAACCTATATGAAATCACAGAATATTTAAATAAGTTGCTGGAAAAGCATGTTTTCCAGCCTCGTACTTTTTATATTGTAGATCTAAAGTGGTTTGAGAACAAGACTTCTGACTTGTACTCAAGAAATAAAGCAAAATAATTAGCAATACCTAGTGAGATATAACCTACTACACTGGAACTCAATTAAATCTTGACCTTTTCCAGAAATGAAGGATATAAAGAGACATTGTTTCCCACTTTCTTCAATTAAATTAGGTCTCCAGAGACAAAGATGAAGAGATAGCAAACGATACCCTTAGCCGTTTAACTTTGATTGTCAGTCACAAATTAAAAGATTTCTGTAATTTATCTATAGCTCTGCAGTGCTCTGAAAATGCTTCACATTTTATGATCTACTAAAAAAAATCTTATTATGGAAAAAAGAAACATGCTTTAGCTGTAATCTGTTCAGTGAAATGTTGTACATGATCCAGAAGATGACTCGGGCATCGGACAATCAAAGAGGAAGAGTGCCTATGGCAATGCTGCAATAATTTAAGTTTTCATTTTCAAATGTGTTTTGCAATAAAAAATGTTAATTCAACTATTTTATGATATATTACATTTTCAATAAAATAGCTGACTTTTACATTTTATAATTATTTCATAGTCACTTCTGTGAAAAAAGGAGAAAAGAAAGGAAGGAAGGAAGGGCAGGGAAGGGCAAGGAAGGAAGGAGAGAAAGAAAGAAAAAGCTTTAATAGTTTAATGTATTTTAAATACTGCAATACATCATAGTATTTTCTAAAGAATTGATCCAATCTCAATATGCTCAGCTAAGTGTGTGAGGTCATGTACAATGTCTTTTTCATTAAGCCTAGCAAGCCTAAAACTAGTATGCTCATCTTAATAGCTAACCTTGGTACATACGGCTTAGTGCAGCAAATCACAGAACCAGAACTCAGTGGGAAACACATTTTCAAATAAATGGACTCAGGAAATAAGAAAACATATTAAAATAACATACCATCATCACAGTACCCTCAACATTCAAATTTTTTCAACACATAGGCAGGGGCGGACTGACCATTTGGAAACTCGGGCACTGCCCTAGGGCCTGGGGTCAGTAGGGGGCCCCGTGAGATGCCCCTGGTACCTTTTTCATAGGCTTTTTTGAGTTTGGGCAAGGACACGGGGGCTCCATGATCCCCTATTGCCCGGGGGGGCCCCATGAGTTGTCAGTCCGCCCCTGTACATAGGAGTTGATTTACTAAAATGGGAGAGTCCAAAATCTGGTGCAGCTGTACATAGTAGCCAATCGGCTTCTAATTTCAGCTTGTTCAGTTAGGCTTTAACAGAAAAAAAAAACCTGAAAGCTGATTGGTTTCTATGTAGAGCTGCCCTAGATTATGCACTCTCCAGTTTTAGTAAATCAACCCATTAGAGTGCAAATATGACTAGGGAGCATAACACAGTATTGGTAGGAACACCTATAGTAACATAAAATAAAACAATTATTAAAAAATAAACTTTAATTTATAATAGGTAAAAAGAGCAACAAAAAAAAAATCAATTTTAAAAACATAATTACTGTTACTGCATTATTGTAAGGTTGAGCACAATTTTGCCACCAGTTATATGATGACGCTGTACTGCACTGGTGACAGTATGTAAAAAAAAATAATAATTTCTTAATTTTCCAAAAAACTATGACAAAAACTACCAGTTAAAAAAACTTGCCATGCCTTTTACTAAATACTTCGGACTGTCTACTATGCAAAAATGGGTCATTTGGGGGATATCAGTACTGTCCTGACATTTTTGGGCCTCAAGAAATTGGCCAACAGTACTTCAGGATCGATCGATTTTCAGATATATAAAAATAGTTTGTGGACTCTATAACTTTCCTACAGACTAAATAACAAATACTGATTTGAGTTATTTTCACCAAAGAAATGTAGCAGAATACATCTTGGCCTAAATTTATGAAGAAAAATTGTTTATTTGAAAATTTTTAAAAGAGAAACAAAGAAAACCATGGCTTTTTTTCAACATTTTCGGTCTTTTTTTCATTAATGTAGCAAAAAATAAAAAACCCAGTAGTGATTAAATACCACCAAAAGAAAGTTCTAGTTGTGCGAACAAAATGATAAAAATTTTGTTTGGTTACAGCAGTGCATGACCGCGCAATTGTCATTCAAAGTGTAAGAGCGCTGAAAGCTGAAAATTGGCCTGGGCAGGATGGGGGTAAAAGAGCTCGGTTTTGAAGTGTTTAGTATTGAAAAATGTAAAGTGTTGCTAAAAAGATGAATGAAAATTATTTGTTAGAGAAAGAACATCTCAGAGATCAAGGAAGGAAACGGATCTGCGGGTTCTAGTAGATCGCAGACTCAGCAATAGCATGCAATGCCAAGCTACATTAACCTCCCTGGTGGTATGATTATTTCAGATTTTTGGTGCTGAAAGCGGTACCATTATTTTACATGGAAATATGTAGTTTTTTTTATTGTAGGCTGTAATTTTTAGGAATAACTCACTGAAATCTGTCCGAACAAGAGTCTAGTAAACATCCCGGGTATGATAAAATTTGAAACACGAAATCATAAATTATAATTTAATAAATAATCATAAAAAATAATAATATAATAATAATACATTTAATTCAATAATATAATCAAACCGAAAACACTGACATTTGAAATATAGCGCCAAGTTCGTACATTGCTGAGCAAAGTCGCAGAATCGTTTTCAGTGTCTGATGAGGAATTTCCCCCACGAATCATTATCACTCAATTCTGCAAGTGGTTCTGATTTACTATCTCTGTTCTCTAGCCGGTCTAAAACCACTTTTGACCTAAAGGGACATTTTTTGACGCCATGGATTTTTCTAAGTTTCCAGGCAGAAAGACAGACAAAATGTAGGCAGGGCACAGGACAAAGCACTAGGGACAATATGTATGTGAAATGGGTTGAAACAGCAATGTTTTACTGTGAAAAATGTGTTTTGAAAAAAATGACATTTTTTAAAATTTTCAAATTTCCCGCCGCCGCCCATACGTCCCGACATCACGGGGACCAGAACACAGAAGCCAGATGCCGGCATCAGCCGGAGGAGATGGCCGGGGACGCTTCAGGGGACACATCATGGGAGCGAAGGACAAGGTAAGTGCTGCAGGGACTCCCTATGCAGCGCCGCATGGTAAGCCCGAGTGTAGCTCGGGGTTACCGCTTTTGGTACTAAAACTCTACCCCGAGCTACACTCAGGAATACCGCCAGGGAGGTTAAGCAATGCTAGCAGGCTATTATTCAAGAGATAAAACTATAATTCTCCCACTTTACAAAAATCTTAAAGTAGAACTTTAGTTTGAAAATTAGGTCCAGCTAGGTCACTTCATTCGTGCAAAAAAAGAGCGACCTATATTCTGAAAACAAAGAAATTACTAAAAATAATTAATATAAAAGGTGAGCAAAACCAAAATCTCTATAGTGATCAATAGAGAAATATGTGTGTAAAAAAAATAAAGTTAACACATTAAACCATAATGAACAATGTTGATCACATAAAAGGTGAAAGAGCAGTCCCATAACATATAATTCACTTGTGAACAAAAACGAAAAAAAGGGCGCACTCTCATCGTCCATTACCGTGGTAAACCACGTATTTATTGTATAATCAAATAGATATATACTCACAAACCAAAGGAAAATAAAAGCAGTATGAATAGTCCGCAATGGTGGTCAATTCAATGCTGTGCCCCAATTGGGGATAAGCTGATACGTTTCGGGAGACGAACCCCCTTCCTCAGTTTTTGTTCATCAGTACCCGGATTTCCCAATCTTTGAAGGGTGGCACCTCTTCGTTTGCCATTGTGAATTCCTCTTGGTCTGCATGGAGATTTGAGCGCTGGTTTCGTTTGTTTGTCTTCATATAATTCACTTGTGCATTACATAGAATTAAACTTCAAAAAGAAATATATAAAAGTCCAAATGTGAAATCTTGAGAATTATGAGTCCACATGTAGGAATCCCAAGTTATCTTACAAACAAGTGTGCCAGTTCCATAATCAAACAGTAATGATCTCCAAATAATACCAGCTCGTTTGTTTGTCTTCATATAATTCACTTGTGCATTTGTCAGGGTCCGCCGCGGCGTCTGTCCCAGCACATGCGCAGTCGCGGCGGCTCGTGCCGGGATACGGGCACTAGGTCCTGGCCGGCCGCGGCTGAAGGAGACTCGCGCATGCGCAGTAGGCGCCGCGAGTACACGCTGGGCAACCAATGACAGCGCAGGGCACGGTATTTAAAGATGCCCTGCGCTGTCACAAATTGCCGCAAGGTCTTTCCTGCTACCTGTGTTCCTGTACCCCGAGTTCTGTTCCTGTTTTGACCCGGATTGCCCTGACTTTGCTGCCTTCTCCTGTTTTGACCCGGATTGCCCTGACTACACACAGCCTTCTCCTATCCTGACCCCTGGCTTATCTGACCTCTCTGCGGACTGACCACCCCGGTATTGACCCTGCGTGTGACCCGACTATCCTTTGCCTGCCTATTCTGTACCTCGCGTCTCCGTCGGTAACGACTGGGCTGTCTGACTGCGATCCATCCATCCATCCCTCCTGAGCCTGCCGGTCTCTTCACATCAGGCTCTCCTCCTGTATCCATCCCCTGTGGTCCCCTCTGCCACGGGTGGGAGTGCTCAGAGGTCGTGACCTGGTCCTGGTCTGCTTCAAGTCCATCCCCACCATCAGGGGCCCTGGTGAATATGCAGACCAGGACTTAGACTCCACGCTCTGGGTAATCCTGTCCGGTGGGCTGCCAGAGGTACCACCTGGCTGATCATAACAGCATTACATAGAATTAAACTTCAAAAAGAAATATATAAAAGTCTAAATGTGAAATCTTGAGAATTATGAAAGTCCACATGTAAAAATCCCAAGTTATCTTACAGACAAGCGTGCCAGTTCCATAATCAAACAGTAATGATCTCCAAATAATACCAGCTCAACACACACAGAAATCTTCCAATTTTGGGCCACCACTCAGGATACCACTGATTTCACTGCCTCCATGGTCCTTCACTGGTTATCCAAAGGCAGCACCTTAAAGTAATAACGAGGAGAAAGAGTAAAGGACCATAGAGTAGTATGCTAAACGCAGATATACTCACAGTAGTTACAGAGTAACACAAGCAAAACACACCACACCAGGGATTAACAGCGGGTGTACAACATCATATGCCACTGGCCTTACCCTGCATGTGCATGGTGCAACAGATGTCATCAGGGTATGAAAATTCCCCCCAAAAAAATTTACCTTTTCTCTACTTTGATCAGGGTTAAGCTGGCCACAGGCTAGCAAATGTTGGCTGGTTCCTGATGAATTGGCCAAAATGCAGTCACTGGGTCACCCTGTTGACCCTGCTCTAATCAACAAAAGTTGATCATTTGATCCACTTTTGCTGAATGTGCCTGCTGGAAATTTTTTAGCTGAACAGCTGTTGCATTCAATGAATTGCAGAAGGTATTCTGACATGAATCTGGTGGATTCATCTATCTGTGCTGTTTAACATGGATGGAGGAATCTGTTAGTTTTTTTTTTTTTTTAATTCAGCCCACAGGCTAAAGGAAAGGAGTCAAACAGTATATGGCCAGCTTTAGTTAAAAAATAGTATTCATGGAGATAAAGAGGATACATTCTATTCTATAATTTGTGCTCTGGTACAAAGCATTGCAAAATTATTTACAAATGAAACACTCTTTTTCCTCTTTCAATTTTTTGCACTTTTTTTATTGTGATACTAAATAGAAAAAAGAATGAAAAAAGAATAAAGATAAACAAAAGCTTTAAATAATAATGATAACAAATAGGAATAAAAACACCAGCAAGAAAAATAGATAAGGGGATAAGGCAAAGAAGGTGTTAATTAAAGATCATAATGGTAAACTAGGGTTAATAAGGGGTTAAAATCTTTAATAACATTGAATACACTGAGTATCAAAGTAAGACTTTTCAACTGGACAATAGTGCATTGTTGTGATGAGGCAAATGTATCAGAGCTAGAAGAAATTTGTATCTCATTGTACTACATTTTTTAAAACTGCTCACTCAAGAAAATCATAGCTGAACTGGATCTACAGCAAGTGTTCTGCCTTTCTTATGTCTATCTGACTAATATTTCACTATACAACTGAAAGCCGTTTCACACAGTACCCTTCTCAGTATTATCAGTGTTTTTTTCAGCTGTACTCCCTTATTGTTTTTGTTAGAATTTTCTTATTCGAATTAGAATTCAGCTTGTAAAGACAATAGATATTCATTTTGTCAAGCTGTGAAAAAATAAAATAATTTAAATAACTTTTGCGCTAAGGTACTTCCAATTCTGTAGCTAACATTTTAGTGCAGTCGACATATATAACCAGAGGTAATATTTGCTAACATATTTTTTATCACCTGCCTAATTTAAAGTGTCCAGATTTGTGACAGTTTCACTATATGAAGTCCCTTCTCTAGTGGTTTTATAACCGTTCCATCAGTCTATTGGTAGCTGATACCTACAAATTTGCATTCATAATTCCAATTTGTGACCTTTTAGGCTGATGAGCCATGTGCAGACTGGTGCTGAGTTGGTCCCTATCCCGTAATACCCATTCAACTATTATACAGTATTTGTACCTGAGAGCCTCCCCTGATACGTACTTTATTGGTGGACTGTGCAATGCTAGCCCAGGCACCCAAGATCAGATACTATAGCTGGCTTCACCTATTCCCTTATTCCCTTAGGGCAAGCAGGCCCACCATTAATTGGTTACCCCCAGAGCTTAATAAACAATGCTAAAGTTTTTTTTTTTTCACATAACTTTTTATTAAGTTTTCAAATAGACCAGTAGTAAATGCAATAAAGTACGAGTAGAGTACAAGTAAGGTACAGGTAAGGTATCAATAAGGTACAAGTAAGGTACATATAACAAGTGACCAGTAACAAATAACAAGTAAGGTGTAGCATGCAGGACCCATTATTGTCATCCAGCATAAATATAGTAATATAGTATCCAGAATATATAAAGTATACAAAGAAGGTTTGATTGTGTGAGTATCACCAGAATTTAGGGAGTACATACCAACATTGTGTGTAATATCACTTACTGTATCCCAATAAATTCAGACTTTCCGAGTTGTATAGAAAGATTTGCAAGATGCTGGTCTGATAGCTAAAAGTCTCTCGTAATGGTAGTTAAGCTTGACTTGTGCCAAGACTTCTGAGGGGTTTGGGGTGAAATGGTTTCTTCAATGTCTAGCAATGATCAGTTTAGTTGCCATTAATATATGGATGACTACAATCTGGCAGGACAGTGGATATTTGTTATGCTTAAGTAGCAATATAGCAAGTGCTGGCTTTGGAGGCAGCAATATTCTAGTAATGTCCACAATTATGCTAAATAATTTCCTCCAAGCAGCTGGTAAACTTTTTGCATGACCAAAAAATGTGGAAGACGGTTCCAGGATGACCACATTCTCCCCAGCACAAGGAAGATGGAGAAAGGTAGTATTTTGCTAGTTGGTGTGGGGTTCTATTTCAGCTGGTCACTATATTTTGGGTAAGCTCCCAATGGTTGATACACTGGGAAGCTACATAATTGTACTAGAATGCTATAGCCCATTGTTGAGGGTTAAATACTTTATTTAGGTCTGTTTCCTACTGCAGCATATGGGGAGATTTTATTAGTTGTTATTTGTGCTGAAATATGTTGTACAGTAAGGAGATACCTTTGCAGTTGATTAAGGACTTGTATAAAATTTCCACTCCCTTGAATTTAAGTAAATCAAGAGCAGTGGAAACTTAGATATAAAAGAAGCAATGCGTGTGTACATAAACTGACTAGTATTAGGAAGGTCATACTGAGTAAGCAGTATTGCTAAAGGTAAAGGTTTTGGCCCCTCGTTCTCCATGATTTCATCTATCCACCAGATGCCATTTGCCTACCCAGTGTTTAACAGAGATATAAGGGAGGAGTATTTCCAATGTTTCTATAGATAACCTGAGCCTGGTTTTCACTGGGTCTTGTTTGGATTAGTGGAGGAGAGTAGTTTCCAGGCATTTGCCAATAACAATATGTCCAGGCTGGTAACCTGAGAACATGCTTCAATTGTTGTGAACCAATGTTTAGCTTGATCCAGCACTGTAGCTAAGTAGTATTGCTTTATGTCCTCCTGATTCCTATGTTGAATGAGATGTCTGCGTGCACATTGAGATCTTTTCCTTGTCATATAAAGTTTTTAAGG